AGTATCATTATCTTTATTATTATTATCATTATTATTATTATTATTATTATTATTATTATTATTATTATTATTATCATAATTACTACTACTACTACTACTACTACTACTACCATTATTATTGTTATTATCATTACTACTACTATTACTAATATTATTATTATCATTATTATTATCATTATTATAATTATTCCCAATAAATATCGTACACACATCACACAGTACCCTCCCCCCCTCCTCTTAAAAAAAAACAATAATAAATAAACAAATAAACACAAAATCGATACAGACAAAAGCAATACGATATACAACGAGTCACGCCAAGTTCCCGGCTCTGTCTTCGTGTTGTGTCGAGGCGTCGCGACATGAAACTCGAGGGAAACCTTGGAAAGTTGAAGGGGGAGGTTGGAGTGGAGACGAGGCCGCCGCCGGTGTGAAAAAGCTGTTACGGGCTTCGGTGGCCGGAGGATTTTTATTGTATTTTGTTTGAGCGTGTGAGTGGGTGAAGGTGGGGGGGTAGGGATGACGGGGGGAGGTGCATGGCTGTGTTTGTGTGCGTTGAGGGAGGGAGGGGAAGGAGGGAGAAAGAGAAATAGAGAGAGAGAGAGAGAGGGAGAGTGAGAGAGAGAGAGAGAGAGAGAGAGAGAGAGAGAGAGAGAGAGAGAGAGAGGGAGGGAGAAAGAGAGAGAGAGAGAGAGAGAGAGGAGAGGGGAGAAAGAGAGAGAGAGAGAGAGAGAGAGGGGGGGGAGAGAAAGAGAGAGAGAGAGAGAGAGAGAGAGAGAGAGAGAGAGAGAGAGAGAGAGAGAGAGAGAGAGAGCGTGTGTTTAAGCGTGTGAGTGGGTGAAGGTGGGGGAGGGTGCATGGCTGTGTTTGTGTGCGTTGAGGGAGGGAGGGAGGGAGGGAGGGAGGGAGGGAGGGAGGGAGGAAGAGAGAAAGAGAGAGAGAGTGAATAAATAGGTACATGTATTCATATCTATACACATATATATAGATACATACATACATACGAACATAGACAAACATATAGATAAACAGGCAGACAAACAGAGAATATGTACTTATATCTCTACACGTACGTATGAATCTGTGTATACATGTGTACACGTATGGAAGCATGTACACTCGCACAGATGTATATATGTGAATATGGAGAATGGCCATCCAGACATGGCTGCCTTTCTTGAATATTCATTTTAGTCACACTTAAGATACAGTGTAATAGGAAATCTCACTCGGGAACAATTACATTTGCATACGTGGCAGTCGCACTTCAGGAAATGACATATATAACTTTTTTTATGCTTTATTACATGGAAAAGATGATGATAAAAAAGTGAAAGAAAAAAATTTAAATAGTGGATGTGACTTCTTCGAATTCAGATTTGATATTTTATCTCGATTTGTTTCTTGTCTGGCAAAAGGGCGATGAAAGAGACAGAGAGAAAAGATAGATAGATAGATAGATAGATAGATAGATAGATAGAGAGAGAGAGAGTGAGAGAGAGAGAGAGAGAAAAGAGAGAAAAGAAAGAGAGAAGAGAGAGAGAGAGAGAGAGAGAGAGAGAGAGAGAGAGAGAGAGAGAGAGAGAGAGAGAGAGAGAGAGAGAGAGAGAGAGAGAGTGTGAAAGAGAGAGAGAGAGAGAGTATGTTTGTGTATGTGCCTGTTAGTAAGTATACATATAGTCATGCGTATAAGTATTATTAATGTAATCATGTATAAAAATAGGAATGTATATTTACATAAGAACGCCTTCCATCACTTCCTAAGACCACGCTTCGCATAAAAAGGGAAATTGTATATTTACCACATGCATTCCTTCGTATGCTTTTATTTATGCAAATATGATATTCTATCATTTTCATCCAATAAATCGTTATGAAAACAATGTTGTTATTTGCAATACCTTGTTTTTTGTGTTTGGAAAAAGATATTTAACTGCTTTTGGCCAAGAAGATATCAGTATACATAATATACAGAAAGGGTTGTGACAATATACGAGTTTGGGGTTGGATACATTTGCGGCGCAGAAAACGACGATGCAGAAGAAAAATAAAGTTTGTATGATAAGGATATCATCTACTACATATAATCTGATTTGAAATGAAGTGTAATGCAAGTGCAAGTCATCAAAAAAACGATATAAATCACAAACAAACCTTGGAAACTTATATCGAAGGGGGTGTGAATGAAACTAGATAACTTCATAAAGCTTCATATATATATATATATATATATATATATATATATATATATATATATATATATATATACACACATATATATACATATATATATATATATATATATATATATATATATATATATATATATATATATATATATATATATATATATAATCGAAACCGGTCAGACACGACCGTTATATGTAAAAATGTCCTTCATATATATATATATATATATATATATATATATATATATATATATATATATATATATATATATACATATATATATATAAATATATATATATACATATATATATATATATATACATATATATATATATATATATATATATATATATATATATATATATATATATATATATATATATATATTCGAAACCGGTCAAACACGACCGTTATATGTAAAAATGTCAGAGAACAATATATACAATGACGAAAGTACGTAGACTTTGGGCAGAGAATGAAGATGATTTATTCATACAAGCATCTTACAGATACTGCAGGTATAGTTGACAAGGAAGTTTAAGATAATCTACAAACTAAATACTTTAAGAAATCTCAGACCTTTTTCAAAAGAGTTTGTTCATATTTCTTTCGGTTTTGCATACAATGGTCGTGGTTGGCTGAGGCGATTTTTAGATGTAAATAATGATATGATAGTTAAACATTATTTTTGGATTAAATAAACTACTTTGGTATCCCTCAAGCAGTACAAAAAATATTAATCATGCAAATATTATAAATAGTGTGCATATATGCTCATTACGAGTATTTTCTCCCGTAGAGTTTTGTTCTGTGTATGTCGTCATTGAGTATTTATAACTATATATATAGTTTTGATTATACCTTCCAATAAATTTTAATCGTATCACTCTAGTATGGAAATACACACTACGAAATAATTTCTATATACTGGTCTTTAATTTCGTTGTATGGTTTCTATGTTTGTAATAACATAACTACTTAGACAAAGAAATTAATAATCAGCTAGCGACACATGGTATGATGTTTGTAGGATCACATTGATAGTCTTCAACGCAACATGCCCAAGGACAACATCAACTTCCTGACCACTGTGCTTCCCACAGCGCAGAGGGCTTAGTGACAGACTAGCTGACACCGGCTCGAGCATGACTCCAATCCCATGACCTTTCACCCAAGACGAAAAATCTTGAAGCAAAGGTCCAATGCCATAGGATTTGCAATTTTCCTTCGGCTGCACTGAGAGGAAGCGAGAACCTTCCCCTCGGCCTGAGGAGCCACTGGCACTCTCAGCAACAACTGCAAGAGGTGCCGAAGTCATTCTTCATAGAATCAGACTAGATTATCACTGCGCACGGCAAATTATGGAAATAAATGAGTGTGCAGACAGGTGTTGCAAGCATTGTGGCGAGCCGAACGCCACCCTGTTACACTAGTTACGGAGTTGTGATCACGCACAATTCCTGAGGCAGGGACCACCCACCACGACCTCCGGGCTGGTAAAAAGATTATGCCGCATGCTTACACCGTGGCGGCAGGAGCATTAGGATAAGGAAGGGAGGGTGGAGGGAGGTAAGGGTAGCTAGATCGATATATATATATATATATATATATATATATATATATATATATATATATATATATATATATATATATATATATATTTTTTTTTTTTTTTTTTTTTTTTTTTTTTTTTTTTTTTTTTTTTTTTTTTTGAACTACCAGGGTGAGTAGGTTGGGGTATAAAAGACACATAACAGAGAGAGCAAAACGTGAATATGTAAAATATAAGATAGAACAAAACAGAGAACATGGGGAACAACAGAAAGTGAATATGTGACAACTTAAAATAGAACTGTTTGTTTGTTTGTTTTTTCGCCTGATAGGGATTATCACAGCGGGAATGGTCCTGATATAATAGTCTATAGCAGGTGAAACCCTTTCCTGCTTCCCTTCCAGCTTCTAGGAGCTTATAACGATTGCAGTGGGTCACGCATTTCTTTTCTTTTGTTTTAAATAAACGGTATTATTGTTGCGAACTAAAAACAAGCACATATAGCATGGATGAACGGATGATGAAGGATGATGCGGGTGTTGCTTGACTGTAGTTGTATGAAACGGTTGGTTAGATGAGTGGGTGTGGGATGGAGGTGCGTTGTATGTGCAGCTGATGGTGCGTGAAGGAGAGCATATGAAGGTGTGTCAGCGTGTGAATTTGGGCGCTACATATGATATGAATAAACAGGTGAACGTCAAACACGTTTAAAATATGTATTTAATAGAATATTTAGGGAAATGTGTGGCCGTGTGCGACTTATCTTTGTCAGAGCATGAACCACCCACTGCCCAGCACGCACGCGGGATCAGCAGGGAGAGCACCAGGCAATGACCTCTCCCTACCCAGACACACAACGTCAGTGATAGCTAATCGTAGGTTTAAGTCTGATATGCGAAAGTGAGCCTCGCCCGGGCTATGCCTATGAAGGCCGACTATGCTGCCACTCAACGCGTGCCAGCTGGTACTGACTCGACTGAGCTTAGTCCTTTAAATTACCCACTGTGTCAATTGAGACAGACATCATAAATAGCTGACACAGGCCGGGCCTTCTCAAATTTCACTCACTCACTCCGGCCGGTTATTTAGACGTCTGTGTAAAGGAATCTGCGAGAAGATTCACCCGAATCACGTTGACTGAACCGTGCCTCTGTAAAGACAGCGAGAAGTAGAGGAAGAAAGAAAGAAAAAGTCCGGTGACACCCGACAACGAAAATTACTGAGCGGGTTGGCCACTCTCTCGCGTAGTGTATTTCCCGCTCCCGCGCGTAACAGACCAACTGACTAAACTGAGACTATCCCGTTGAGTGAGTGGATGAGATTTGCCCGGGCCTTCCTTATATAACTCTATCGGCTATTTATGGCTGTCTCAACTGATTTACCAGTATAGAAACCATTCACCAAAGCCTCCGGATTTGTACAAAGTGTCTGCGTGTGCGTGTGATGCAACTGTCACCTGGAGAATACAAAGTGAATCTGGCAACCTGTACCTCGGCGTCTGTGAAGGTTTGATCTCGCAAAATTCCTCTTCAAATAACCTATAAAGTTTAAATTCTCATCCCTTCTAGTCTATCTCCGCATTGCTATGTGCCTCTTTCATCTCACCAGGGAGAAAGGCGGAGACACGAAGGAAAAGAGAAGAACGAAAACGTAGAAAATTAGTGAGTGGTCAGTGAATAGAAAACAAGAAGAGGATGTAAATAAACAGGATGAATCAGAACGGTGATAGGCATGACCGTTCACGCGACGTACAGGTGATGGAGATATGGTCAGGGTGGAAGGCAGATAAAAAGACCCCCCAACTCAGCCTTATCGCCCTCGACAGATAACGACGATAATCATAGTGCTATCGAATCCAAAGTCACGGCCAGAGACGGTGGCCCTTCTATCACCGCTCGGACGGGTCTCACGCAGAAGGTGCCACTATAACGACACGGCCAAAGTGATATTAAAAAGCGAAAAATAGAAAACTATGTGGGTATCAGTGCTATATTTGATCACCACGGTCCTCCTCGCGTATGGACTGAGGCATGTGCTGTTGCGCGAGGCGAGGAAGCTGCACGGCGTGTACAGCGAACCAGGTGATCTTTGTTGTTGTTCGTGTGTGTGTGTGTGTGTATGCGTGTGTGTGTGTGTGTGTGTGTGTGTGTGTGTGTGTGTGTGTGTGTGTGTGTGTGTGTGTGTGTATGCGTGTGTGTGTGTGTGTGTGTGTGTGTGTGTGTGTGTGTGTGTGTGTGTGTGTGTGTGTGTGTGTGTGTGTGTGTGTGTGTGCGCGCGCGCGCCGTGTGTGTCTATGTGTGTGAGTGCGTGTGTGTGTGTGGGCGCGTGTATGTGTTGTGTGTGTGTGTGTGTGTGTGTGTGTGTGTGTGTGTGTGTGTGTGTGTGTGTGTGTGTGCGTGCGTGCGTGCGTGCGTGCGTGCGTGCGTGTGTGTGTGTGTGTGTGTGTGTGTGTGTGTGCCCTTGCATGCATATGTGTATGTGTTACTGAAAACATGTAATGCAGTAATATAAAAAAAAAACGTGCGAGATGACAGAGAAATTATTAAAATCAGGAAGATTCAGAAAAAAAGATATCCTTCTCTCTGCGTGGTCTAGTGTGCAACTTAGTCATCGATCTTTTCACCCGTAGATCAGAGAAATGACAACAAGGTAGGAAGATTATCTCATGATCTCTTCTTTGGATTTCTTAAGGTTTCTTGTACCTGTTGAGCCGCTTTTTTCTTTGTTTCTCTCTCTCTCTCGACAGAGAGAGAGAGAGAGAGAGAGAGAGAGAGAGAGAGAGAGAGAGAGAGAGAGAGAGAGAGAGAGAGAGAGAGAGAGAGAGAGAGAGAGAAGAGAGAGAGAGAGAGAGAGAGAGAGACATTCTAGATAAAGAAAACCCTACTCATCGTCTTCTCTCTCTCTCTCTCTCTCTCTCTCTCTCTCTCTCTCTCTCTCTCTCTCTCTCTCTCTCTCTCTCTCTCTCTCTCTCTCTCTCTCTCTCACCCTCTTCGTACAAAAATTCCTATATCCTTTTCAGCAATACATAGAATAACAGTAATACTAGGGCACAAGTACTTGTTTAACGGTAATAGGCAAACTGCCCTCCCTTAGGCAAGACAGAACCCGGAATTACGCGGAGGAATGGCCACGGTGGCGAGGGGGGAGGAGAGGGAGGAGGGTGGAAGAGGAGAGGAGGGGAGGTAAGGGAAGGGGGGGAAGGGAGGGGAGGAGGAGGGGTGGGGAGGGGGAGGAAGAGGAAGGTAAGGGAAGGGAGGGAAGGGGGAAGGAAGGGAGGGGAGGAGGAGGGGTAGGGAGGGGGAGGAAGAAGAAGGTAAGGGAAGGGAGGAGAGGAGGAGGGGTGGGGAGGGGGAGGAAGAGGAAGGTAAGGAAAGGGAGGGAAGGGGGGAGGAAGGGAGGGGAGGAGGAGGGGTGGGGAGGGGGAGGAAGAGGAAGGTAAGGGAAGGGAGGGGAAGTGGGAAGGAAGGGAGGAGAGAGGAGGAGGAGGAGGGGCGTAAGGGAAGGGAGGGTAAGGGAAGGAGGGGGAACAGAGGACGTGGAGAAGGGGGAGGAGAGGGAGGAGGGGTGGAAGAGGAGAGGAGGGGGAGAGGAAGGGAAGGGAAGGGAGGGTAAGGGTGGGAGGGGGGTGAGGAGAGGACGTGAAGAGCGGGGAAAAGAGGGAGAGGAAAAAATGAAGAAGTGGAGTTGAGATAAGTAAATATGCAAAAGAAAAAAAATAGTACTATGTAGAGGGAAAAAAGGGTAAAACGAAGGGAAGGGAGAAGAAAGGGAATGATAATGATGATGATGAGGAGGAAGACAAGGAAGAGGAGGAGGAGGAGGAGGAGGAGGAGGAGGAGGAGGAGGAGGAGGAGGAGGAGGAGGAGGAGGAGAAGAAGAAGTACGATTAAACAAATGATTATGGTTATGGTTAAGGAATTCAAGGAGAAGAAAAAAACAGAGGAAGTGGAGGAGAAGGAAAGAAGGAATAAGGAAGAAATGTGTTTCTCTGACATCTACATACTAATTGTCAACTATTCCCGGGATATATAAAGTCATATCATTAGCACCTCGGTCCGCATACACCAACATATAGTTCACATAACACATCAGCAATAACGAAACACGCAACACTAGGCAACACAGTCCACAAAGGGAGACCAAGAACGCTGTCGCCCCCGTTTACGAGGTGATCACTCTCGGTTTCGCTAACAAGCGCCAGGTCAACGTCATTCCACGAGATGTCAGCAAGTGTCTGGCATGGCGGCCTCAAATACAAACTAACACAATTACATCTCCCGACAAACTTAACAAGCCTCCTCTGCAGGTTCATGGACGACAGTATGCCTTGGAACCCACTTGGGCACCTCTTTCCTCCTTAAATGTGGAGTACCTCTGGGAAGCTTTAAATCGCCAACTCTTTTCATTATGTATACAGCCTGGTAGAAACTAACACCTTGCTGTAAATATTATTCCTATGCAGACGATATCAGATAATCTCACATCCCCTCTGAATCTTAACATGTAGACAGAATATCTGCAGGAACTTTTCTCAGAACATGTAGCAAAGAGCCATACGAATACACAGACAAGCATAAACACCAGAGCCCAACTGTGCGAACAAGAAGACGAACGCTAGATCATCATGAAAAATACACAAGCACACCTAGTGGTCCAGATCACAACCACACATCAAAAACCAAACACCCACACTCATATACGCACCCACTCGAAGACAGTGAGATTATACTAGTACCAGTTTTAAGCTTTATTTTCACGTTAAAAAGTAAAAACAAACAAAAATAACAGGTTTGTTTGGTTGCAAAGGAATTGTAGTCACTGAGAAACCATCTCCTCCGCCAGCAGCCACACGTATGGCCTGGATTAACCAAACACGGGAGGAAATAAAATATATAGAGAAAATTTAAAAATACATAAATAAAATATAATCGTTCGCATATTAGTTCACTGTTCAAAATGCCGTAGCTGCAATATAAGCTCACCATTAACTAGCCTTTCTGTTACTTGCACTTTGGTCGAAGCACCACACACACACACACACACACACACACACACACACACACACACACACACACACACACACACACACACACACACACACACACATACACACACATACACACACACACACACACACACACACACACACACACACACACACACATACACATACACACACACACACACACACACACACACACACACACACACACATACACACACACACACACACATAAACACACACACACACACACACACACACACACACACACACACACACACACACACACACACACACACACACACACCACACAAACACGCATTGCATTGACTGTACTCATGTGCCAATTTGCAATCCAGAAGGAAATGATGCTGAAAGATACCGTTGCAGGAAGGGGTGCGTTTCCATCACAGCGCAAGGCATATGTGATCCAGACCTAGAGTTTACAAATATCATTATCAGTTGGCCTGGAAATGCACATGACAGCAGGATTTTTGATAACTCCAGGATATGTCATTTTCTAGAGCAAGGACACCATGCTGGTTATCTTCTAGGGGACTTGTTGAAAATACTTGCCGACTCCAGCAAATGAAAAATGAGAGAGTGCAACACAGCATATGCAAAAGCAAGATTTGCAACTGAGTGTGCATTCGGTGTGCTAAAAAAGGCGCTTTGCATGCCTTTGCTGGTAGAAAGGGACAATTTTAATATAGATTTTACATTCCTTCTTACTATGTACGTATCTCTACTGATATGTACATGCAGGCAATAATTTTGATTTGTCAAATAAATATCAATAGTGGCTGGAAGGATGATTTATTAATTATTGATGAGGACAGGAATGGTATTATTAAGGATTTGTTTAGAATTTTTTTATTAGTAGAATTTCTTATATTCCAATTTAGCTCTGTTGCAATTATATGTTTCAAATGTTGATTTATTTATGCAATGATGGGGTATGTATTAATTAATTGGCTTGTAATATATGATACAGGTATGGAATGAAAGGATTGTTCATTATCGTGATTTTGATTCACACAAGTACATGATTGTTCATGTCTTTTCAAAGTTAGTGCCCTGAAGTTGCAGAAATTGTTTGGATTCAATTAGGAAGGAAATGACTCCATCTGCAACCCTTTTGAAGTCACTTGCAAAGTTTTATGCAGATGTCCGAAGTGCTTCACATGTCTTAGAAAACTCCTCTCTATTTGCTTGCAGAAGTTGGACATCATGGAGCTTTTTGTTACTGATCGTGATCCTCTGCCACATTTCTAAGTTAACACTTAACTACAGTTTGTATTTACATTTTAGAAGACCCTGTGATAATAATTCAGTGCAATAATGAAATGAAATTACTATTCCAGTGACTCTTAATTATATAGTGACTAAAGTATTACATATAATATCTTACATGTTTACTACCACTCTACATTTGTTATGATCGCGTCAGCTGAGAAGGCGTACTGCTAGTTGTACTTATCTACGAGGAAACTGCTGTAAACAAGGAGGAAACTCCCAATTAACGTTCGACAAGAAGTAAAAAAGTGTCAGGGAAATATTTCATATAATTTCTGATGTGGGGTTATCTTCAACGACTGTAAAATCGCAGACTGTTGTAGTCGTCTCATAAGGACAATTTAAAGACAGTCATATACGAAGTTCGGGCGTCAAAGGCATTTTCGCGGAGCCATGGACAAAATTTCTGATAAAGTTTAGAAAAAAAAACGATTAATCGGACTTTTTTTAGTTAGGTAAAGCCTCAATATATATATATATATATATATATATATATATATATATATATATATATATATATATATATATATATATAAACGGCCATTCTTTCGAAATTAAACTTTTCAAAGGAGTTTTAACTATTGTACTGATCCTAGAAAGAGGGGAAGGAACGTAGAAATGCCTTTAAACCTTTTGATAATTTAAGAAATAATCGCGTAACTTAAGAGCATATCTTGCAAACCCGAATACTATTAAAAATAAAATAAAAAGAAACGAAAAAAATCGTTTTTCATCGTTTTGTAATGAATCTGATTATTATCATTATTATTGTTGTTATTATTG